ATATATAATTACACCCCCCCCCCTCCCGGCCCCAACTAAAATAATGTTTTAAAAGTATAGATTAAAACATTTTCTTTTGATAAGCCAGACCTCAAGTATCCTATATCGCAAGCCTGACAAAGTCATAATATGATTAAATGGTAAATCAGTTTTACAGAAATTTCAATCCACGTCCTATCACAGCTATGAGACTACTGCACACCCTGGGGTCATTTTGTACCCCCGGGGTTGTATTCTTAACATTTTAAAATACTTCTAGTAGGAAGATTTCTTTGGAATTTTCAGTATTTCTCAAAAAATCATTTTGACAGACTGCTATGCAAAGCGTGTGGATCAGATTAACGAGTAAATTTACTCTTTGGAAAGTGGTGGCCCAGAGTTCCCCACGTTGTATGGATGCAATAGTAAAACACGACGTACGGATAGGGTTGAGTGGTGGCACAGAGTTCCCCACGTCGTATGGATACAGTAGTAAAACACGACATACGGATAGGGTTAAGTGGTGGCACAGAGTTCCCCATGTCGTATGGATACGATAGTAAAACACGACGTACGGATAGGGTTGAGTGAGGGCACAGAGTTCCCCACGTCGTATGGATACGGTAGTAAAACACGACGTACGGATAGGGTTGAGTGGTGGCACAGAGTTCCCCACGTCGTAAGGATACGTTAGTAAAACACGACGTACGGATAGGGTTGAGTGGTGGCACAGAGTTCCCCACGTCGTAAGGATACGGTAGTAAAACACGACGTACGGATAGGGTTAAGTGGTGGCACAGAGTTCCCCACGTCGTAAGGATACGGTAGTAAAACACGACGTACAGTTAGGGTTAACCATATAAATGATAACCTTGTGTATAGATCAAGTGGTAGGGGGGGAGACCTATTGCTGATTTACTCCTCCTTCTCCTTCTTTTTTTTTTTTAGATGCCTGATCTTTACCAGCTAAACAAAATATACCACAGGCATGACCAAGATGTATCTAGCTTAGGATTATTATTGTTTATTTTACTGTTCATTTATTTTATGCGTGTGACTGTTGGCTTGCGTGTGTGTGCATGTTTGTGTGTGTGTGTATACGTGTGTGTGTTTGCGCGTGTGCTTGTGTGTGTGTGTGTGTGTGTGTGTGTGTGTGTGTGTGTGTGTACATGGTGAAACACCAAACCAATATGCCGGTATCTGGACAATAAAGATGTATCTTATCTTATCTTATCTTATCTTATCTTAAGATAAGAATGTATTGTGAAATATTTCGCTGGGCCTGTAAGCCTACAATTAAGCCTGCACTGAGTAAAAAGAAAAGAGCTTTGCCTGGCCAGCAAGATCTCGAGTTGTAGAATGGTAGGAAAATAGCGTGTTGTTTCCCAATTTTTCATCGGCTCCTGTTCCTTTTTCAGACGATCAGCCTAGAATTCCACCATGGGAGGAAGATGATGGAATCTATGGAATAATGGTATGCCACACTCTTCTTTTAGTTCTTTGGGGGGAGGGGTTTTGTGGGGGGGGGGGTTTTGTAAGTGTTTTACGGCGCTCGCAACTGCATAAGGTCATATGAGCGCCCGGGACACACTAAACATTTTCAGTTGGTGGAAAATTTTGAATTTTGCCCGGGTGGCGGCCGAAGCCTACTCTTATAGATTTTACACCACCTTCTTATGAAAGTTGTACCCATATTATACTCCTTTTCTTGCTTTTTTCAACATTTAATTTTAGAATTTGATTTTCAACTAAATAATTCTCCAGGGTTTGCAATCAGAACCACAGATTTTAAACATGCATTTGAAAAATGTGAAAGTTTTAAGCTTAGCATAATCTGGACAGCTGGCCAATGATTTTGATTTTGTGTACAGAAGGTTATAAAAACTCCTCTCATGGAAATGAGAATTATTTTAATTAAAGAAAATGTTGTCGGGTTACCGTACTGGCAGTCTGTCAGTTTGAATGTTCCCTCTTTTCAACCTCTCCCCAGTCTCGCATGGTTCGCAATGTTAATCCATCTTTTATTTGGGTGCTGAAAAGAGATGCTATCGACTATCGCTACCTGAGCAAAGAGCAGATGGTAAATCACTACTGCAAGGCAGGATCTTTTACAACCAAGGTCAGTACATTAGTTAGCCAGCAGTTAGCTCTTGATGATTGTATGTTATATATATCTGCTGACTTGATTTGTTGGATTTGTCAATTTATAAATAGGAAAAGGGGAACACTTTTGTGATCTCTCCTATCATACTTTTTAAAGAAATCAACCGAAGCATGAAAGCAGTCTTTTGTTTTTGTATGATCGATATTCATCTATTTCGAAAAATCGTATTTAGCCAAACTTTTGTTATGTACCATAAGTAATGTGTAGCGTGGCTTGCTAATTTATTCTTTTTATTTTTTTCCAGAAGTTACACAGTGTAAGTACTAAATGATTTCTCTCTGACAGGGAGCTTTGTCTGTTTTGTTTTATCAATATCAAGAAAGAGCATGTGCTTGCAATTTTTGTTTGTTCCAATATTCCGTTGAGAAAAGTTATTCAAATCACATGAACTGCTTTAGATCAGATCAAATATATGTGATGTGTCAAACTGACAGGTTGAAAGGAAATTTTCCTTCTCTGTATTTCACGACCATTTCTTTTTTCAGGTGGGCCTTTGCGTTAACATGAAAAACGTGACATGGTTCGACAACTCGGACCAAGATGCATTTTTCCCAAGATGTTATCGTCTCAGTCATGATGAAGACAAAAATGCTTTCATAGGTAACTGCAGTCTTATGGGTTTTTCGTAAAGTCACTAATGAATGCTTTGCATAATGCTATCTAGACAATAGTAGACTGAAAAGTGTGAATGGTTAATTACTTGGCTGGATGGGTTTGAGATGGAGGGTGCCGTGTGACGGGAATATACACTACTGGATGGGGGGGAAGGAGAACTTGTTAGGAAAATATACA